AAAACTACTTTTAAGTCAGCAGGTGCTCAGTAAACACCTGCAAATGACTGTAATTGGGCGATGGGGCCTAAAGTGCATCAGGAATGAACCTCCCTTGGGGGAACAATGATCCCTTGGAGGGTGTGTCCCTGAGCCTCACTGAAAATGGGAACTGGTCTCATCCACAGCAGGAAGGAATCTGGTTCCTGGAAGATTGGCAGGAAGTATCCTGAGAGCATAGGATATAAGAGAGAAGATGCCAAAGATAAAAAGAAGTGAAAGAATGTCTTCACTAGGAATAAAAATAGAACACTACACGTACATTTTAATTCTGAGTTTTGATTCATCAAATGCTCCAGGGGGATCAAGTATAATGTGATGGAGGCCACTTTGCCAGATGGGACATTGTGGTGGTTGTAAGTGGAGGTCCTGGGGTCCAGTTGACTTGCTTTAGAATCTCAGCTCTATCATTTTGTGACTGTGGCAATCACTTTAATTTCGTTAAGACTTAATCTCTTCATGTGTAAAATTGGAATAATACTGGTAGCCACTTCAGATGAGTTGTTATAAGAAGCACATTAAATAATAAGGAAAAGTATTTAGTCTTCTACCTGACACACCTTAAGGGTCCAATGATTTCTGTCTTCCTTTCTGCAAGGAAGGAAGAAAGGCAAGCCCTTCCTCTGAAAGAGCTCAGAGAAGGGGTGGAGATGGGCCTCCTACTACCTGCCCAGACCTCTCTCCTGTGGTGGAAGGAGCTACAATAAGATTCTGACTCAGACCCAGACTGGAAGCCAAGGGCCCAAGGAGAGACATGGCTTCCAGCACACACTGAGGAAAGCAAGACTCAGACTCTGCAAAGCTAATGTGAGGAAGAGCACATTTATGAAAGTGCAGAAAGTAGCTGACACCAGGTACCTTGTGAGAGGGAAGACTTGTGTCCATACACATAAGAATTTCCTTAATAAGAAGATAGATTTGCTGGCACCAAGCTTCCAAAAACATCTAAGGCTCTATTGTATTTTTTCCAGACACCAGGACATTCCAGGGAATATTTTTGATATAATAATCTGCATTCATTTGTGGTGTCATCTCCAGAGGCAAAGCATGTTTATCAGCAAGAACTAAGAGGAAGGAATGATCCCAAGACATACAAAGAATCCCTCTCACCTACCACTTCACGGAGGAAGAAAACTCCAGCCAGTCAACATTCTCCTTTTATGGGTGAGGAGATGCAAGTCTGGAAAAGGGAAGTGAATTGCTCAAGGAGTCATCTGGAGGGGTCCTGACTCTATCCTGACTTGTTGCTACAATACAATTCATTTTGATTTTTCTTCAAATTTCTGTCTCCCTATGAGTGTTTTGGGGGTCTCACTATGTTGTCCAGGCTGGACTTGCTCTGCTGGGCTCAAGTGCTCCTGCTGCTTCAGTCTCCCAAGTCACTGGGACTATTGGCATGTGCCACTGTGCCTGGCCCTATGAATATCTTATTACTGTAAATACTCCACAAAAATGATACCATGATGCCCTCAAGGTTTTTAGTTAAAGTCATGCTATCCCGTCTGCTCTTGTGGGTGCCAGGAGTAACCAGACTTTCCTGGGAATATTGTCGGGGAGGGTCTGGATTCCCCAGGAGAACACAGCACTGGTGTCCTGTCTTCAGGATTAACTTCTGTTCACCTCTTCTCCTGCCCTGGTCTGGGGCAGGGCCCTGGCTGCCAAGATCCCTTCTGCTTTGTACTATGACTCGCAAGGAAGTGGCCTGGAGCACCACTGGGGAGCATCATGTTTGGAGCCATCTCAGCCGGTTGTGTGGACTTAGACAAGTGAACTTGTTCATGCTTCATTTTCTTCATATGCAAAATGGTAACAATATCAAGAGTCTGTAGAGAATAGATGAGAGACTCCTTTAAAAGCACCTAGCCGTGTGCCTTCACGGGGTAGGTCCCCAGTAAATGTCTCATTTCTTCCCTTCTCCCTTTACCTTATATACACAGATGCTGGTCCTGCCCTAGTTGGGTTAGACCAGCTAACTTTTTCCACACAGAAAAAGGTTAACCTAAATAACAAGTGAAATATAATTGCTGGCTCAGTGCCTGTGGCTCAAGTGGCTAAGGAGCCCCACATACACCCTAGGTGGTGGGTTCGAATCCAGCCTGGGCCCGCCAAACAACAATGGCGGCTGCAACCGAAAAATAACTGGGCGTTGTGGCGGGCGCCTGTGGTCCCAGCTACTTAGGAGGCTGAGGCAGGAGACTCACTTGAGCCTAGGAGTTGAAGGTTGCTGTGAGCTGTGATGCCATGACACTCTACCTGGGGGATAGCTTTAGGCTCTGTCTCAAAAAAAAAAAAAAAAGAAATATAATTGCTTAAAACCTTCTAAAGAAAATGGATTTGGGGGATGTGTAGTGCACATGGTTCCTTTGTGTTCTTACAGTGTTTTCAACAAGTGCATCTATACTCAACAAGGAAACACAGACAGCCTGGAACCAGCGGATGCTGATGGCAGGATGGCTCACGGAGTCCGACCTCTCTCTTCTTCTGGAACAAGCTGGCACTTGACCCTGCGTGGACATGATAGCTCACCTTTCTAAGGCAGAGAAAGTCAGAGTAACTGGTTAGAAATCCATTGCCTTTCAAACTAGTGCTTAGCCCAAAATTGTACCAGAGAGCTCCTTAATCCAAGACATTCTTCCCAAGGAGGAAGTGGCGGGAGGAGGCTGGTGGAAAACCAGGAATGTGTCAGGGTGGTGAGTGAGGACCATCACACCGCTGCCGCCCAGAGAAAGAGGGAAGGAAAAATACCATGGTTTCTTTTCTGGTTTATTTTCTTCCCTAGCAAATAGTTTCCTTTCGAATGACTAAGACATAAAATATTGGCAGGCAGCAGTGGAGGCCCCCCGCTGTGGTTTACACACGTGTGCTGTAGTGGAGAGTCTATTCTCCTGTTCCTGCTCTCCCACAACACGGTAAATACCTGAGGGTTGAGATGATGACTCAGGTGTCTCTGAACACACCGGGGCTTTACAAGCTGGCTTGGTGGAAAGAAGAAAGCTTTAGATAAAGACTGGGCCTCACACCTCAGCTGTCCTCCCTGCTATCTGTGTGGCTTTGGACAAAGGATTTAAGTTCAGTTTCGTCCTCCAGAAATGACTACAGTGAGGATTAAATAAGACGATGCCTGAAACTGCTGGTGGCTGCCCAGGCCCGTCTATAACGCTGCCTCTGTCTCCTTGGTGGTACTTGGCACAGGAGCTCTCAATATTCCCCTTATGCCGCCTTCATGAGGAGGCATTTTTAGATGTTTCCCCATAAAATACCAGAGACATATCATACTCTGTTATGTGGTGTATGACTATTTGTCCTTTATGTTCAAAAAAGGGTTTTTGGGCTTAGTGCCCGTAGCTGAATGGTTAGCTCATCAGCCACATACATCAGTGCTGGGAAGGTTGAACCTGGCCCCAGCCTGCTGAAAACAACACTGACAACTACAACAACAACAGCAACACAAAATAGCCAGGGATTTTGGCAGGTGCCTATAGTCCCAGCTACTTGGGAGACTGAGCCAAGAGAATCACTTTAGCCTAAGAGTTTGAAGTTGTTGTGAGCTATGATGCCACAGCACTCTACTGAGAGTGACATAGTGAGACTCTGTCATAAATAAATAAATAAATTAGGATTTTTGCCCCCTGACCAATTTTCATCTCCTTGGGGCTAATGTGACCCCCCACTGAGAAAGCATGTGGGGGAGCAGCCTGTGTCCATGTCCTACATGGTCGTCAGTGGGTGATCTGTGATACGAGTTCCACCCCATCCCACGTGGCATCTCACCAGGGGACTGAGAAAAGGTTTCTGGAGGACATCCATAAAGCCAAGGGGACATCCATAAAGCCAAGAGATCTGGATTCCAGACAGACTATTTAGATCATGGAAGGCAAGTCTGTTGAATTTTGTGTCTTTAAAAAGTGACATTCTCACAAAAGAATGACCAACTGTATTTGTAGACTAGAGAGACACAGAAAAAACAGGCAGCTGTATGCCCCCCGGCCCATCATCTTGCCTGCTCATATTTCTATGAACTAACTCGTGGTGGGATTGGGGGTGTGGACGAGAACCTGTCCTCACAACACAGCACCATTGCTGATAATTCTGCCTCTGGAATTATATCCCTTGACTCTTAAATGTTTTCAGTCTTAAACATTTTCCATTGACTGAGAGGCAGATTCTATGGAAATAGGACAATTAGATCAAGGGGGAAGGCAGCTGAGTTGAGAGGGAGGAGATTCCAGAAGGAAACTTTTCTTATCCCTCTAAGTTGAAAAGTGTTAATCCTCCCACTGCCGACTCTAGACAATTTGGGAGGTAGGGAAAGTCTGCTTCTGAAATCTCTCTATCCGGGTGCGTAGACATCACGTTGTGGAATCAGGCTGCAAGCCTGTACAACACGTAAAACAAACAGAAGCATGGTAATGTCATGAACGTTGCCTTGCTAAATATTAAATCTCTACATCACAGTTCTCTGGGGAATTAGATTCAGATTAGTGACCATTCATCAATTTTAGGAAAAGAATTTTATTTATCTAATCTTTTTTATTTACTTAAAAAATCTGATTTCATCTATAATACAAGGAAAGTATTGTAATGAAATCTGAGAATGCTAAACTTTCTAAAAATATAGTTAAAGATCTCTTTCTATATTAGGTGGGTGGTATTTCTTTTACAAGGGCTTATTTTGTGGGGTGAGTGGACGTTGGGCCTTATTTATCATTTTGAAGAAATACCCCGGGAATTGCCTTAATGAACGATGGGTTAGATGCTAATTGACCCATTCTTGGTTTGAATAAGCTCTTGCTTTTGTTTGTGTGGTTTCGAGATAAATAAAGGATGATACCAACTGTGAGTCACTCATAGGATTTCACATTCATAGAGCCTGGCCTAAAAGCTATATAAAGAGGGACATTTAAGGAACTTGCATGGAAAAGGAACAGAGGAGATTGAGTTAACCCATTCAGAAGTCTATGATGAAGTGCCTGCTATTGATACTGGTCTTGCAGGTCTCTGCTTCTGGAGCTCTTCCCCTGAATAACAGCACAGGCCCAGCAGAAACCGATGTGCTATTTTCCCAAGTAAGTATATGACACCTTAGTATTAATTCAGCCTGATTTTTGTCTTTTAGGTTCATTGCATTGACCGGTTTGGTTTTTCTTTTGAAAAATAGCAAGAAGCTTAGGAGGCTGTTTGCTTTCAGCTGTAAGTTTTTCTTTGCCAAAGAGGAATATAAAAACAAGGTATTGGTTTTGAAAGAGTGTTATAAAATGGCAAGTGAATTTGTGTCTTCTACTAAGCTTTGGCCAAGGAATTTCAGTTCAGTATAATTGGAGTTCACTGCCGGTGTGGTATTTTACATTAAAACTTAATTTCCATTAGTAATCTGAGATTCGAACAGTGGCCTGATAAATTTAAGCACTTTAGCCTGCCAGGGTAATTTAAGCCTATTCCCTTTACCCTCACTCATCCCACATATTTCTGTATCAATTTTGTAAAAGACAGAGTTTTTTCAACCCAGGATTTCTTTTAGCTAATACAAAGAGTTTGAGTTTGATCTCTTTCTTTTCTAAGATCATTTTAACATTGAATTTATCATAGTTACCCACTGTGTTTAGTTGTGAGTTTTTAAGCAAGAAACTTTTATCCCAATGTTTTACAAAAGTTGTATTTATTTATTTATTTATTTAATTTATTTTTATAGACAGCGTCTTGCTCTATTTCCCAGGCTGGAGTGCATTGGTGTGATCATAGCTCAGTACAGCCTCAAATACTTGGGCGAAGGTGATCCTCCCACCTCAGTCTTCCTAGTCCTGGAATCACAGGTGTGAGCCACCATGTCAGGCCTAAAATAGCATTTAGAGAGTAGAAATGTGTTTGTAGCAGAAACATAAAGGTATTTACACTGAGCTTCCAGGAAAATTTTTGCTAATAATTTATGACATATGTTTAATAGTGCAAATTAGGATTTTTTTCCCCTCATTATAATTAACTGTCCAAATAACAATAATGTAACCTGTGAGTAAGATATCCCAAATTACTGGGTCCAAAGTATCAGTGTGCCATTGAGTCACACAGGGGAGCTCCTGGCAGAAACTTGTCCATGTATGCATATGCATTACTGAATGTATTTTTTTTTCCAGAGGTACTTAGAAAACTTTTATGACCTTAAGACAGAGAAAATGACAAAAATGAAAGTGGATACACACTTTATGGAGGAAAAAATCCGGGAAATGCAGCAGTTCTTTGGGCTACAAGTGACAGGGCAACTGGACACATCTACTCTGGAGACGATGCACCTGCCTCGGTGTGGAGTGCCCGACGCTCATCATTTCAGCACGATGCCGGGGAGGCGAGCGTGGAATAAACGTTCCATCACCTACAGGTAATGTAGGCCTATGGCACCATGGGTTTTTCCACTTTCCCATAGGCCTGACTTCTAACTGAAACCATTTAGATACAGCCCTAAATCTGGAAATAGGTTAAGTAGCCTCCCTCAATTGTTAGCAATATCCCCATGTTAAAATTCGTTATCTCTGGAATGGAGGATTGTTCACTCCGGGAAGAGATGTGTGGCTTGCCAGTCCAGAGCAGAGGAGAAAAGATGTGAATAAAAGGAGAAGGAGTCTGAATCTACTACAAATAAGAACAAGGAAATGTTTACAGAGCAGCCATGGGAGACACATGCACAAGTCTGGGAGCAGAAGCCAAGGCGTAATCCTCTAAGAGAGTCAATCCCTTGTAGTGATGACTTGTCAGTCATAAATAAGAGGAAATTAAGTTAGATTTGGGTTAAGGAGGAAGCTATTTGAGGAAAATTGTTTTCATATTTAATGAAGCAAGTTTTTCTTATCTGAACTTGATGTATAAATGGTTCATCTTTCAATGCTAACAAAAATGCATACTGGGAAAAGACAAAATGAACCTATGGCTTCCATGTTTTTCTCTCTTTGCTCATAAAGAATCAATAATTACACTCCTGACATGAGGCATGAGGATGTTGACTATGCCATTGAGAAAGCTTTCCAAGCATGGAGTAACGTGACTCCCCTGAAATTCAGAAAGATTAACATGGGCGAGGCTGACATCATGATACGTTTTGCACGCAGAGGTAGGAAACTCGGACTTCATCTGTTTTATTAGGCAAGCTCTATAGGACATATAGAAGAACTAATTATCTTTCCTTTTTTAAAAGCTCATGGAGACTACGATGCTTTTGATGGCAGTGGTGGAGTCATAGCCCACGCTTTTGGACCTGCACCTGGTCTTGGAGGAGATGCACATTTTGATGAAGATGAATTTTGGACTAAAAATTACAGAGGTAGGCAAAAACACCAAGCGAACAAAAAAACAAAAACAACAAAAGCCATAACAAATTCTAAATTATATCCTGATTTTGACAGAATACATTTTGACAAGTGATTATATGATGAAAAAACTTGTCTGACCATCATTTTGCCTGTCAGTCAAATTTAATACTTTGTATAGGTCTCAATTTCACTTGCTATAAATTGAGGGTATTAGACTAGTTTATCTTAAAGATCAACTCTAAGGATGTCTGAGGATCCTATGAGCTATGAAGTAGTTCAAGGGCATAAATTTAAAAGAACCTTAAAAACTATAGTATGGAAAGGTATAAGCTGTTATTTAGGTGATAATTTTTTTGACAGTTAAATCCATTAACTCAAAAGTAATCACAGTTACTAACTCTATATGTGCCAAAAGTTGTAAGATAAGATTGCAACATGCTGACAATTTCTTAGATTATTTTTTAATTCTTTATTAAATCATAACTGTGTACATTAATGCATTTATGGGGTATTTATGTGCTGACTTGATATACAATGTGGAATGCTTACATCTAACTGATTAACATAACTGTCTCCTTGCTTACTTATTGAATGGTAAGATTATAGAGAATCTAGAGGTCAGAATGGAGAAACATAAGATTTTATATATGGGGGTCACAGTGTGTGACACACCTCTCGGAGGCAGGATGTAATAAGGTGGACTTCACCTAACAAATGCAATCAGTATAATCTGGTTCTCTGTACCCTCAGTGAATGCCCAACAAACAGACAAATAAATAAATAAATCATAAAATGTAAAAAAAAGATTATACATATGGTCATGCAGTCTTTTAGACTGAACAACCAATCATCTATTATCTTGGGGGCATTTGCAAAGAGGCTGTAACTCAGCATCTCCCTCAGACAGTTGGGACGAGGTTAACTAAGCTCTCCGGTTATTTGGGGGAATAGCATGAAGGAAATTCAAACCATCATGTCAGAGCTTTCCTAAACTTGCTATTGGAAATTCTGTATCACGTGACTCCCTCACGTGGAAAGTAAGTGGGAAGAAAGGCACCAAGGATATGCTCTCCTCAGCACCCCCTCTCTCCGGCTGTCATCCATGCACTGGCTGGCAATACTTTTATAGACACTGTGTTCACCAGAACAGTTATTGGTTTCAGTCTAACACAGCCTAAGGCTTACCCAATTTTTGATGAGAAGAGGACTTTTGTATTGTCAGAAGACAGATGATGTAGGATTGGGTACTAGCCAAACATGTGAAATGTGTCTAAATTTGATCTAAGGTTATTTGGAGATTGTATTCTCTTCACCTGAAATGAGAGACTTGTGCTGGTTGGCCTCAAAGAATGTTTTTGGAATTATGACGACCTTTAAAAAGTAATTAAGACCAACATGTTGGTACCTAGTTTGTAGAAAAGCTGGCCAAGAACATGTATTTCCAACCCAACACATGCTTGCCAACTGTCTGTGCTGCCTTATTTTTCTTTCTTTCTTTCTTTCTTTTTTTTTATTGAATGGTAACTATGTACATTAATGCACTTCTGGGGTACAGTGTGGGGTTTTCACATGCAATCTGAAATACTTCCATCAAACTGCTCAACACAGCCTTCATGTCATTTTCTCAGTTATTGCTTTAAAACGTTCACCTTCTACTCTTAGAAAGATTCACCTGTACCCCTATAAGATAAACCTCAGAAGTGATCCCTCCAAACCTCCTCCCTCCACCCATTCCCCCCTCCCTTCTCCCTCCCCCTCCCCATATTCTTAGGCTATTTGGTTATAGCTTTCATATAAAAGGTATAAATTAGTTTCATAATAGGGGTGTGTACATTGGATACTTTTTCCTCCATTCTTGTGATACTTTGCTCAGGAGAACATTCTCCAGCTCCATCCATGTGAACATGAAGGATGTAAAGTCTCCATCCTTTGCTGCCTTATTTTTTAATTGACTTGATTCGATGGTTTCAAAAATTTATTAAATTCTAGCTTAAAATGTTCATTTTCAGTCTGATTTTTTTGACTGAGTAAATTAAACGAACAATGAGGTCAATGTTTGCTGAGTTTCTGTTATGATGTCGGGTGATGGGGTGTTTGAATGCAACGTGAAAAGGACACGATATATAGAAATCCATTATTCTGAGAAGAAGACCAATGGCGGCAGTTTGTAGGAGTGTTAAGGGAATTCAGACTAAGATAAATTTAGGTTAAGGTGAAATTATAACAGCTTTGTTTACTCTTCCCAGTAAAGACTGAGCCTTTGCTTCTTCTTTCTGGTAAGAGAAGAAATGAAAGTAGCTCTGAGTTAGTTGCGGGACTGCACTGGGGTTCGGGAGAGTATTTTAAGGCCAAGCTCTGCAGCAAAGTGGTGTATGATGACGGGCAAGTCAGTTCTTCTGAGCTGAAGTTTGTCTTAGAAAAAGAAAGGGGAAAAAATGAAGGCATTGAATTAGAACACACAAAAAAAGTCAGGAGTTTGTAAATCTGCAAATTGAGAAATTTGGGAAAAGAGATATACTCCCCTCCCATCTCTTACTTACAAAAGGGAATTCTCTAGACATACAGAAAAAATGAACAGGCATGACTATAAGTTGTGAGTTTAAATATGTCTAAATTATAGATGTTGATGCTAATGTTATTTAGAATCATGTGTAGTAGAAGCATAAGCTTTAGAGACAAGAAATTTGGATTTGAATCTTGGCTCAAACTCCGTTTGGTCAATTAATCTTACTGAATACAATTTCCTCATCTGTAAGTGAAGAGCGTGGTGGCATCCTTTCAGTTGTGGGAGGATTAGGCATAATGTGATACATTTCTCAGTGACTCACCCAACGTGAAATTTAATGATGGCCTTGTATTTGGGTTTAGAAAAGGATGGTTACTAAAGACTTTTCTGTATCGACTCTAGCCTGATCAAGACTAAAAACAGAATGGAGTCAAGGGAGTTGAGAATGGTTTAAAAGCAATGAAAACTGTAGCACGCAGCTGTGAATTGTTCTAGGAATTTTCACAACAGAACTAAATTCATTTGACCATGAGCATAATGATCCTCAACTGGAGGCGATTCTGCCCCCAAGGGGACATTAGACAAGGCTGGAGATATATTTTGGTTGTCAAAACTAAAGGGGGATTTGCTACTTGCATTTAGTGGTAAAACTGGAGATTTCCAAACATCTGCAAGGTCAATAAAGTTTGCAAACTCCTCCTGGAAAAAGTGTTACATCTCTCATTGCTGAGTAGCTCTATTTGAGTACTCCTTTGAAGTACTCCTGTTTGTCACCTGGTGACTGTAGTGATATCCAATAATGAGGAGGGTAGCACTTTTTCTAGGATAACTCACATAATGCACAGGACAGCCTTAGCAGCAATCATCTGGCCTGTATTGTCAGTAGTGCTGAGTGTGAGGAACCCTGTTCAAGAAGGTGGGGAATAAGTAAACGGTGTCCCGTGAGGTAGGTAGCACAGCTAACATCTTCTTTTTCACTGTGTCAGATGTTGTGTTATTGTCACAAGATGATGATTGGTTCACTGCTTTACCCCTTTTGGTTTGTTTCCTCTTAGGCACAAACTTGTTCCTTGTTGCTGTTCACGAGTTTGGCCATTCCTTGGGTCTCGGCCATTCCAATGACAAAAATGCCATAATGTTCCCCACCTATAGTTATGTTGACCCTAACAGATTTCGTCTCTCTGATGATGACATACGGGGCATTCAGTCCCTCTATGGTGAGTTGAATTGCTTTGTCATTTTGCATAATAATATACTCTTATGAATAGTCTGATAATATTTACATTTGGTTAACACTGTAATATATGTTTTTCCTTCAGAGCGTCATAGGATCCCTGTGAGGTAGGTAGCACAGCTAACATCTTCATCTTACGGATGAGGGCAAGAACCAGAGGCAGAACCTGAGGCCTCAATTCCGGTGTTCTTGCTCCCCTCAAACACTATTGTTGAATAAGGCCCACAGAAAAAACAATCTAGCTGGAAAAGAAAAGGAAAAGTGATCAGTTTTTTTCCTCCATGATATTGCACCCATATGAAAAAAGACTCTGCTTCCTATGAATGTTACAGAAAACTTAAATTGATTTTTATGGAATTTTCGTTAAGAACGTTGGATGTTTTAAAAATAATAGCTCTTCCTCTTAGGAACTAAAATGAAGATTTCTTTTCCTAATGCTTCTTTAAATGTATTTTCAGGAGGCCCAGAACGCCAACCCATGCCAAATCCCGACCGTCCAAAATCAGATATGTGTGATCCCGATTTGAGTTTTGATGCTGTCACTACAGTGGGAGACAAAATCTTTTTCTTTAAAGACAAGTGAGATCATTTTCAAATCTAATAAATATTAAAGAATCCATTGTTAGATGTTTTGGTCAGAGAATAGATTTCCAAGGATGGAAAATGAAGTAGGTAAAACTTGTGAGCAAGGACTTGGACTTAATTCTGTAGGCAAGGGAGAGATCCTAGAGCTTTTGAAACAGGTGAATGGTATGATTAGATTTGTGTTTTTACTAGAAACTAGTGTGTCAAGATGGATTTGCAGTGGATTGGAGAATTAGAGAACAGAAAGCAGAGAAGCCAGTTTATTTTAATCAAAGATAAAAACGATGAAGTCTTAAACTAAGGCTGCAAGGAAGTACTTATATAGAAGACTTGATTTCTTGGTTACAGAGAATTCCAGGATGACTTGTGATTTCTGTTGTGGAACACAGATTGAAACAGATAATGACAAAGGGGAGAGGTAGTGGGAAGAAAAATATTTCCTAAATAGGATACATATTCTCCACTTTTGAGATTATGAAACTGAGACACTGGAGATTAGGTGACCTCGTTTAGTTTATACAACGGGTGAATGGATTGTAGGGCCAGATTAGGAATTTAGATCCCTCAGTCCCAAACTCTAGCGTATTTCCAGGTGGCCTATTAAAAGTTGTTTTGGATTTTTTGAGACAGTCTCACTTTGTTACCCTTGGTAGAGTCCATGGCATCACAGCTCACAGCAAACTCAAACTCTTGGGCTCAAGTGATCCTCTGGCCTCAGCCTCCCAAGTAGCTCGGATTACAGGTGCCCACCACAACATTAAGCTATTTTTAGAGATGGGGTCTCTCTCTTGTTCAGGCTGAACTCAGGCAATCCACCTGCCTTGGCTTCCCAGAGTGCTAGGATTACAGGTGTGAGCCACCATGCCTAGCTCAAAAGTCTTTGTTAATGATAAAAAATTGATTAACATCTTTTCCTTGTGGGCTCCAACACAGACATCATTGGAACAGAATGTGAAGATAATGGAAAGAAATGCTGAGTCTTTTCACCCTTCCTTCCCATCATGTTCCAGGATTCTGTAGTCTACTATGATATTTAGCGTGGAAAATGTCTTTCGTGGCAGGTTCTTCTGGTGGAAGGTTCCTGAGAGACCAGAGACAAGTACTAGTTTGCTTTCTTCCTTATGGCCAACCTTGCCATCTGGCATTCAAGCTGCTTATGAAATTGCAGCCAGAAATCAAGTTTTTCTTTTTAAAGGTAATTACAATTCTCAATTTTGCCATTGAGTCTACTGCTGATAAATATTACTATTTTTTATAAACCTCCACAAAAAAATTCTCTGAATTCTATTAATGGCTCTGACCTGTAAGATAAAATAGTGTAAATACATTGGAATGCATGTTACTTTTGGAAAAAAATTGTAAACTATAAGATGGTGAGAAAACATGGAGCCATAGGAGATGGACAATGTGTAAGAATGACACAGAGTACCTTTCGAACTGTGGGAAGGGAATGGTATTATTTGTATTAAGTCAGTATGTTTATTATTTTTTCTATACAATTCCAATGTACCCTTTTTTCTTTGTCTTCACAGATGACAAGTACTGGCTAATCAGCTATTTAAGACCACAACCAAATTATCCCAAGAGCATACATTCTTTGGGTTTCCCTGACTCTGTGAAAAAAATTGATGCAGCTGTTTTTAACCCACTTCATCATAAGACCTACTTCTTTGTTGATGACCAATATTGGAGGTGAGCTTCAATGGTTTGTGAAACAGGCACGGGATGGGGTTCTCCAGAAGGTAGCCCTTCCAGGCTAGTTCCCAAAGATCTTTGACCTGCCTGGGAGAGGGATCAAGAGAACATAGGAGTGAAATAATTATTGTCAACCTAGTTTTTTTCTCTGTACTGTTGGTTCCCGAAACATGACATAGTACATTTTCTATATATATGTACATATATATGAACTCTTTAAATAAAATGTCATGTTATTAATAATCATAGTGGAAGAACACTGAAAAATAGTGTTGCGGATGTATGAGACCTGGTATTTAGTCCAAAGACAAGTTTGGAGAGTGTATGGATAGCCAGACTCCTTTCCATGATCATAATCACTGCACCAAAAGACAAAATGAGGAAACCACCTTCTGGGGGACAGGAGATCCTGCAAAGTCTTCTCTTATAGGAAAGCAGATAACCCAGTGAGGACCAGAGCTCATTTGAGTGTCTGACTCCTTTTGTCTCAACTGTCTAAATGCTGAAAGTGGACAGGGTCCTATCCCCTCTTCTGAGTAAACCAGTCAAATCCCAGATTGCTTGTATGGCTGGCATGGGGCAAAACAGAACATGTTAGGAAAGTTATATTATTATGTTTCTCCTTAAACCTTTAAAATTCAACATCTATTTCCAATTGCATACCACATACTCAGGCCTTGAATTTGTTCGTCAACCCTTAGCCCTGTTTGAAAAACAAAGTTTTTGGTGTCAGCAAATAAGACTTTCTGAAGAGCTGGCAAAGGAACACAGTTGATTGCAGCTTGTCATTATTAACATTAATATTTCAACTCTGACCAGTGGCTCTATTTTGTTTTCTGCTTCCACATGGCCCAAGATTTTTCTTTCCCTTAAAGGCCCATGGGACAGTGCTGAGTGAGTATTAAAATCTGGAGAAGTGAATGAAATGAGAAGGATACGTAGATTTCATCGCCATTAGGAGTCTAGAGAGAAACACAGCTGCTCTTTTTATTCACTAGTGAAAGAGAATTTAGGAGAGAAACTGGGACTTGACTATATGGCCTAGAAATAAAAGAGTTTCTTTTCAATTTGTCCCTGATGTGTGTGTTTAGAACCTTTTGGCTTCCTGGCTCTTAAAATCCTTAGCCCATCTATTATCTCCTGGGGGAAATAGTGACTTTTGCCTCCATGGAAAGCTTCCAAAATAAGGTGATAACAGGAAGCTAAGTGACTGGTCAGTGGGGCATGTACCAAGTCACTTTCCATGCCAGCCTCTGGGAAGGAGGACTGAACACTGGTGGAGACATTGTTGGCTCCTAGAGAAAAAGACTCAGCAGAGTCGGGAGCATGGGTGTCAGAAGTCAGTGAACTGTTCAGGGCCTCGGTTTTCTTCATCGTCCTTTAGGAGAGAAGAAGGTGGGTTTGCGGTTCATGCCATGGAATTTGTTTTCTGATGGATTCCTGCTGGGCTTTTTTTTTTTTTTTTTGCTCAGGTATGATGAGAGGAGACAGTTCATGGATCCTGGTTATCCCAGATTAATTACCAAGTACTTCCCAGGAATTGGGCCTAAAGTTGATGCAGTCTTCTATTCTGAAAACAGTAAGTAGATTAGGGAACCATGAAGATACTAGAAATCATTTATATTTATATTTATATTTATATTTTTAATTTGTGAGACAGAGTCTCACTCTGTCATTCTGGGTAGAGTGTTGTGGCGTCATCATAGCTCACAGCAACCTGTCTCAGCCTCCCGAGTGGCTGGGACTATAGGTACCCATCACGACACCTGGCTAGTTTTTCTATCTTTAGTAGAGATGGGGGTCTCACTGGTCTGGAACTCCTATACTCAAACAATCCACTTGCCTCAGGCTCCCAGAATGGTAGAATTACAGGTGTGAGCCACCTTTCCTGGCTAGGAATCCCATTTTTAAACAAGATCAGAGAATGGGTCTCCACTTCAGAAAGGGACTGGACTCTTCTCCATGGGACCACAGAGGGGAAACTCACTCTGTACTTGGCTCCACACATGCTGGCTGGACTGAGCAGGGCTGGGTGTGGATGGGGCATTCTCAGAGTGGTCTGCAGTGCGGGATGGGATTGGTGTTATTTCCCATGTTCCTGAGTCTCTGAAATTTCCTCTGGCACATTGGGGGCACTATGTGTGTATGTGCACACACGGCAGGCCAGACTCAGGCAAGCCCAGATGCCCACTCTTTCGTGGACCTCATGTCATTGACCTTTTTTCCAGCCCCTTCTGCCCTCACAGGCTCTGATGCAGTGGGGCTGAAAGTGGGGTGACAAAGGCTTGAATTTGTGTGTGTGCCTTCAAGCAAAGCTAGCCTAAGCAGTCGGTCACTGGGCCCAGGTTTTTTTGTTTTTATTTTTCCCCTGGTGTATATTTTTTTAAATAAAGGCCCCTATGTGCCCTAATCTGAACCCAATATTCTCTTCTTTGAGTTCTTCACTTGGACTGTGACTTGCTGTGGGGAGATATATGGGGACAAGATACACAGCTACAGGGTCGCAACATTTGTATTCTCAAGTCACATCTTACCTAATCCAGATAATTTATAAAAACATATCTGTTTCTGTGTTTATGTTTAATTCTCAGAGGAGAATTACATGATTTAATTTGTTTTCATTTTCAGGATACTACTATTTCTTCCAAGGACCTACCCAGTTTGAATATGATTCCCTATACCATCGTGTCACCAAGATCATGAAAAGCAATAGTTGGTTTGGTTGTCAGGACCAGAATCACTGATGGTGTTTGCCAGTTCCCTTCAGCAACTGAGTATTTATTGCACACTCGCTGTGTGTTCTGTGTACCATTACATAGTGATCGTGGGTCATAAAACAAGGTTGAGTCTACAGGCCATAGTAAATGCTTAGGTAAATTTTTTTTTTTATTTTGAAAGTCCTCATTGTCAATTTTGCTTGACTCTACTATTAAGTTTGAAAACAGACACCTTTAAAGGCCACCAAGAGAATACTTTGTGGAGAATGCTTTACAAATTGGTTCCTAACATCCTTGGATGGAGAGATCATAATTATTTCTCTAGCTTAAAATATTCAATTAAATTAAGCTTAATACATTAAATATATTAAATTAATTATTTCCCTAGCTTTATATATTTAATATAATAAATTAATTTTTTTCTCAAATAAAAACTTTGAAAGAAAGTATTTGGTTTCTATTTTTTTCTTGAAAAACAGAATACGTGCTTTGAAAATAACTCTGGATCTACTCTTAAATAAAACACATCTGTCTGTGTGTACCCAGGGTTGAATAGAAGCAGGGCAGGTGGGGGAAAAAAAGCATAGGTTTCTTTTGGTCACTGACATAAGGCTGCATGTGTATCCTTGGTCTCAAGACAAAAAAGCATCCCCTAGGCTGCATGTGACCCAGGGAGTACATACAGTGCAGGAGCACAAGACTAGAGAGGAGACAGGATGAAGTAGGAACTCTTCATTATGTAAAATTCACAGCCAAGTCTCAAGATGTGGCCCATGAAATTGCTGCTCCATGTTGACAAGTGATTAAATTTGAGCTTCCTAAAATTTCGGAGGAACTGTCAGTGGCCCCCGCCTCATATGTTTACTGTGAAAAGCAGCACAAAGGATGGTGAACATGCTGTGAATTTTTTCCACTTCCCTGACATATAGTCCTCCAGCCTCTGGGTCACACACCCTGCAAAGTTCTCAGGAACAGCTGATGGGTCTGCGGAAGACTTCTAGTTTTCCACTGATTGGCAGACACTGCTAATCGATCTAAGAAATGGTTAAGTCCATTTTTGGCCAAATGGTCATTCTTGACCAGTGCAATGAGCTGAGATCAGGGGAAATGTGAGGCTGAGACAGTAGACGGGGATGGAATTCTTTGTTTTTCACACCTTAGATTGATTCTCAGCTGAAAAACGTGCTCCTTCATGTAATAATCCTAAAGCTGACTTCACTAACAGTACGATCCAGTTGCCACTAGGGCAAATGTTACTCTCTACAGATAACCAGACGCTACATTTCCTTCAAAAGAAGAAACTTTCCTATAGGATCAGCAACCCAGGAACACTGAATGGTAGCTAAGTTGAATTGTCTTTGGCTTTAGGTAATTCGGAAGAAACTAGTTTCACCTACATGGTGACAGAATAGGAATAAATACCTGAGTGCACCCGTCACTATCATGAACTCTCAAGACTTAACATATGAACGTTTCCTCCCGTTAGCTCCATGTGTGTTATGTGTTTTAATTTTGTTAAACAAGTCCCTAAATGTTGAGTATGTGCCAGGCACTGTTCTAAGTGCTACATACACACAAAGACTAAAATAAAAACCGCTCACTTGATCCTCATGATAAACATGAGGTCATATTCTCATTCTCACTTTTTAGGTGAAGAAACTGAACCATCAAGAGTTTGACTTGATCAAGGTCATCTTGCCTTGGAGCTGTGGTTCAAAGGCAGGCAGTCTGAACCTAGAATCTATGTTATCAACTATCACAAAATTCTGCATTTCAGATCTATAAAGTAGAAAAAAATCCACTAAAGTCAAAATGGCTGACATTCCATTCTATAAGGCTTTGCATTTTACTTGACTTTTCAAATAAAATCTTTAAAATATCTTAGGAGTTCTGTGTGTGCAAGAGAAAAACTCAATTTAATTCAAGTTAGGAGGGAAAAGCTGGGGTGGGGGATGGTGTGTTCTCACCTAATGACACACCTTCTGGGTGAGGGGCACAACTACAATAGGGACATTACCTAATAAACGCAAACACCGGAACCTAATGGTCTGTACACTCATACTAATCTGATGTTAAAAAAAAAAAAAAAAAAAAAGAGCTCTGTGGTGGTGTCAGTCTCGGGAACATTATTTTTCCTCTGGGAAATGGAGTGCAGTGGGACTACTTTTGTCTCTTTCTAGGGTTTTCAGCAGGAGGCTTAGATGTAATACCCCTGTTTAGCTGATTGCTCAAGAAGGAGCATTGCCAAGGTCTTTCTGATAAAAGAGTCTGCCCTTGGGGGATATTTGTTCTTGGCTGGCTGCTTTCTCATTTTTAATCTGGTTTCCCTTTATTCTCTCTCTCTCTCTCTCTCTCTCTCTCTCTCTCTGTGTGTGTGTGTATGCAAGTGTAGGGGAACTAGGGGAGCCCCCAGAGGTTTCCATTAACTCCTACAAACCCAGCAATGCATTGAAAAGTAGGTTTTATTAAGACTGAGGTTGTTTCATGTTGAAAGGTTCCTTCAGAGCATGTCACTTTGACGCTGCAGGAAGTGAAGGGGTGGCTTGTCTCTTCACCTGCTCCAGATACCTTGACAGGCAGAGTTCTGGGCCGTGGGTGGTCCTACAAAGTCTATGAGACCAACAAGTTAGAGAATCTTATCTAAAACCCACTCTGTGATCTCAAGCAAGGTAGTTGACCTTTTTGAATTTCAGGGAAAATAACACCTGCCTCTTAGGGTGTTCTGGGAGTTAACATCGGTGAAGTCTCTGACGCTGCTGCTTCTCACCTCAGCTTCCCCTGGACCCAGAATTCCCAGTTTCACTGCTGTCTTCCTGCTCGGTCAATTCCTAGCCTAATAACCATTCTGAATTGCAGAGAAGGTAGAGAACCCATGTAGTCACCATCCTCTCAGTTCCTTCATTCCCAGACATTAAAGACTATCCAAAATTAGAAATTCTGTCACCTAATTTTTTGCTATCCTTCTAGATGTCTAAGTGTTATGAATAATAATGTGTGTTATAGGCTTAGCACCAGTAGCACAGTGGTTACCACGCCAGCCACATACACTGAGACTGGCGGGTTGGAACCCAGCCTGAGACAGTTAACAATATGACAACTGCAACAAAAAATAACCGGGCATTGTTGTGGGCACCTGTAGTCCCAGCTACTTGTGAGACTGAGGCAAGGGAATCACTTAAGCCCAAGAGTTTGAGGTTGCTGTGAGCTGTGATGCCACAGCACTCTACCAAGGGCAACATAGTGAGACTCTGTCTCAAAAAAAAAAAATCATGTTTGTTATATTTCCAGCACTTTATATGTAAGACATGGTTATTACCATTTTTTAGTCTGAAAAAAAAGGAGTATAGAGAAGACAAGGAATTTGTTTAGTGTCACAGAGGTAGTAGGTACAGAAACTAGGATTCTAACTGGAGACTGTTTATCATCAAAATTCATACTTTCAATTATAACCCTTTGATTCTTTCGGCTGATAATTTTTTTAACTGACAAGGAGTAGTATTTGTTATTTGGCCCAGTTACTAGGGACAAGATAATATGGTTAATAAATTATCAACATCAAAAATCCCGCTCCTCTTCTATACTTTTTGGAGTAGTCAAGTTGCCATACAAATATCTTAAGGAAGCTGTATCCGTAAGTGAGGTCTGAAGAGAAGTTTTTCCACTTAAGCTCTAAATTCATGACTTTGAACAGCATGTTCCCATCTAGTAATTAAATAAAATATGACTTTCAAAGGAAAAATAAGGATTGTGAAATTTGTCTCAAATCACAAAAAGGTACTGGATGGTGTGTGTGTGCTCAGAAGCTTAGAGCTGGATTTTATTGACAAGCGCTTAGGAATTCACAGCCAGCAGGGTTTTTTTCCTTTTCCCAAGATTTGGAACATTCACCAAGCTGAGTGAGCGATGAGGCCTCCTGTATTTTTGAATCTGAGTGACACATGGTGACTGCTCAGAGATGTGTGTCCTAATTGCGTCACATCTGGGCAAGAGGAGTGGCAGATGACGAGCAGGAAAGACCCGGCTTGACAAGGGGGGAGAGAAGTCAGGAGAGGAGCCCCCCAGAGTGAAAACAGACAGTGTCCATGAGGATTTGAACAGATATTTTAACTTTTCTGGAGCTTCAATTTCTTTATTTGTGAAATGGAGACACTAATCTATACCTTAGTGGCAACGTGGGTGTACAGATTAGACATAATCTATGTAACCTGTGAGACCCTCGTTGGTGGTTTTATCTGACAGTCGCCAGCACAGTTGTGTATATATTGCTGTTTCACCACATTATACACTCTGAGAAGAGGCAAAATCATTAATTACCTAAAACTAAATCAAATAATGACAGTTCCGAATTCTGATTTCCTTCATCCCCAGCACGGGTTTAGTGAGGAGTAAGCCGGCACACCACCAGCTCCGAGGGGCTGTGTACACATCCCACCTAATGTTAGCTGTTACCACAACGCCAACTTTCATGCTGTCATTCTTACATAATGTGGCACATCCTTTGGATCGGGTCCATTAATGAGGTCGTGACTCAGAAGAAGAGGAGGTGTCTCAGAGCTGTGGCAAAGGAGTGCCGTGGACCATTACCACGTATTTGTCAGGGCAAGGAGCGTTACTAGTTACAAGTGTGTGAAGAAATGTAACCTTCAGGATTAAGCATTTATGAATTCTAGAGTGTAAGCAGAGACTATGTGGGTAGCAAAAGAAGAGGTCGTTCATTCATCCAAGGAAATACCCAGGACTTTCTGTCCATTACAGAGGTGCGGAAGCCGTGGAGTTAAGAGCCCCCTTTTTCCAGCGAGAGGCTGAGTATACACATGGACAATCGTATATGTAAATAGAACTTTGACCCATAAACTGAGATAATCTGCCCAGGACGCCAATCCTCTTATCTACAATAAATAGCTTAAAAGGCCAGTGTGTTGTAAGTCAGAATCCGCTAGTGCCAGGTAACAATCGGTAGTGATGAGCCAGGAAGCTAAAAAATAACTCCTATCCCAAGTGGCCCCAGATGGCCGAGAGTTATTAAT